AGCAACTATGACTCATAACTAACAACAGCTCTGAACCCTGCCCTATCCTGGGCCAACTACACCGTCACCGTCTCTGACACACCTGCCCCCATTGCCACAGTCACTGTGTCATCCAGGGTCTTCCTCTCCTTCTCCGACTCTGTACCCATCCAAGCATAACGTCCTTCTCCAAGGATTCGTCCCTCTTGGCAGCACGCCCAAAGAATCCTTGTCTCCAATGAGCAGCCTGGTTTCGCCCTCTCCATGACAGACCTGTTTGCTCTTTTGGCAGTCCATGGAACGTTCAATATTCTTTTCCAGCACCACAACTCAATGGTATAATAGATTCTTCTTCTATCATCCTTAGTCATTGTCCAGCTCTCTGACGTATGTACATATGTTGTTGTGAACCATCCAATCGACCCATAGATGATCCTCCAGCGGAGTTTTCAGAGACAGTAAATCCGTGATTACTCATCCTTCTCCCACGGAGTGAATTCAAACCACGTACTTTCAAGATGGCAGCACAGCTTCTTATCACTAAGCCACCAGAACTATACATATATATGATTTTGTTGCTAGGTCCCATGGAGTCGAGTAGATCTTATAGCGATCCTGTTCCATCCTCGTAACCTCTGACATTCTTGAGCCCATTGCTGCAGTCCCAGTGTCAATGCACCTAGTAGGAGGGTCTTCCTCTCTTTCGCCGACTCCTGACCACATATTTAAGAACGTTCCTCCTCCACCCCGAGGATTGTGCGAAGCCCCGGGTTCCCTCTCATCCGCCTTGTTTGAGAACTTTCTTTCTGGCCTCCTTGTCAGTCACCAGGGGCGCGGGCGGCCGCTTGACATCCTCCGAGAAGGGGTTCCGGGAGCGGCCGGCGAACAGGGCCGAGTACGCTTTGAAGAGGATGGCGAGCAGCAGCGCGCCGAGCAGCAGTAGCCACATCGCGGCAGATACTAGTGGAGAGGACAGCGTGGTGCCGACTGTGCACTCGAGGGCGCAACGCGACCCTTTTAATGGGCCCAGCCCCAGAGGCGGAACCTTAATCATTCACTTTCTGCCTTTCGGGGGACGCCCGAGCCGGCGCGGATTGACCCTCTCGGCAGCCCGTAATCAAGACGGCCATGTGTTCCATCGCTTGCCGGGAAGTGTAGTTCCGGGCCTGGAGCGGCTGCGCGGTAGGCGCTGAATGACGTGCGGGATCTCAGATGCGGCGGGCGAGCATGGGGAAGTGGAGACTGGGCTTGGGCGACGTTATTCGCGCTCCTCCGGGGCTCGGCACGGGGCTGTGGGTCTGAGATAGAGCTTGCAAAACTGAGTGCCCCGAGCTCTGCGCGGACGCGCTGAGTGACCGAGCCAGATCGCCTGGCGCCGCTGCCCCTTCGGAGCCGAGAGGGACTTTCTTCTGCCTCTGCCTGACTGGACGGCGGCTGGAGCATCACAGCGGCCCGGCGGCGACCCTGTGTTCTCTGAATCAGCCCTCTGAGGGCGTTGCGAGCCGCAGGACCCCAAGCACCCCCGTCGGCCGAGGCGAGATACAGGATAGCAGCGGGAAACTCCAGGAACTCACACTGGTGTGCACATTCGCCCTGAAGATAGGGACCCAGTTTCTATATTAAATACTTGTCCGGAGAGTTTTCCTTCCAGCAAACAGTTGAAAATTTAGACTTTCTTATAGTTCCTAGGGAGCTGTGGTGGCCTCGTGGTTAGGAGCTGCATTAAAAGCGTGGAGGCACACGGTTCGAATCCACCAGCTGCTCTGACGGAGGCAGATGCGCAATCTCCTCCCGCTCCGGAATCCTGCTGGAGGGTCAGGCTTGAGTCGCTTCTCATTCACGTAAAAACAATGCAGTTGCTGCCTGATTATTTTGTAAAGAATATTGCAAGGAATCCGTTAACTAATTTGAAGCAATTGAATATGAAAACTTAGAGATTTAGGTTCTAGTTATAAAGGGTTATTGAACATAAGTATTTGTGGTATAGTAAATTGCTTTTGTAAAGCAGTGAATTGCTTTTTAATGATTGAGTGGCATTATGCATTTAAGATTTGTGAAACTCTTCCTGGAGTTAGTTGAGATATGCATATAAGGTGCTTGTGGCTCACCAGAGGACTGGTAAATTTTGCTTAAAACACACACACACACAAACCAAAAAAACCCTATCCAGATAGATAGAGTGGAAAAATCTGAGTATCGTAAAGGAGGAGAACAAGGCGTAAAGTATAGTCTTTGAAAGTGGAATTTTTGTGCTGAGGACACAAGAGACAAAATTACTGTAAGGTTACAATATTACGGAAAACTCGTAACATTAGAGAACTTTAACACTAGAACTAACACAAGATGGTGAGAAAATCATCGGCAAGCATGGCAGATTCCATCAGCCGAGGTTCAACAGCAGCAAACCCACAAGCACATCAAGAGATAACATAATGGCCTTTCTGTCCCACGGCACAAGAAAGCTATAGTAGACTGTTTCCTATGGAACAGGAGAGCTAAGTGCCTTCAGACAGTAGTCTTGTTGGCAGAGCGCCTTCAGGCACTTACTAATACACAGCACAAGCAGGGTATGGGCCAGATTGAACAGGCTCTGGTAATAGAAGTTTGCCCAGCAGTGAACTCAGCCTAGAAGAAGCTGTGCTGATGAAAAAATGTTTTCTGCATTGTTCATATTGCATTCAAGTAGATCATGGTCCTGAGTTGTAACCAGTTCCTTCCCTAATAAACCCCATAATCGTGAAAAAGTAAGAAAGAATATTGCAAAGAATGCCTTCATCACGTTGAGTATTTGCTTGTGTAACAGTGTTTGTGTTCTTTCTTTTCTCTGGTACACATAGTAACTGGCTCTGTGGAGGCGCCCTGCACTGTCTGGAAGAATTGAGACACTGGCTGGTGTGTGACGCTTCTGTGCTGTTCTGGCTACTCGACTCATTTCCTACTGAGCGCAAAAGAGCCTTCCTGAGAAGGCAGCCCCTGGTTGTCCCCTTCCCAAGGTTGGTTGATAGTGTGTTTTTTTCACCTGTTACCACTGAAGTCAAGTAGAGAAGAGGGGAGGGAAATCAAGGGAGGCAGATACAGAGACCTCAGAGGCCATACAGTGGACAGTTAGGACCAAAACTGAGGGTGCACTGTGTCCCCCACAAGGCCACCTCTTTCCCCACCCCAGATTTCAGGGAGACAAATGACTGTCCCAAGAATTAGGAAGCATTTCTGCTAATTTTGGGAGTTAGTAACTGATGCTTCCTATCTCCTGAAACAGAACAGTCTGGTGGCTTAATGGTGAGGAATTGCAATGTCAATATAATGGCATGAAGTTTGAATCTACCAGCTACTCCTCGGAAGACAGATGGACCGTCTCTTCTCACATGATTAACTCTCTCTGAAAACCCACTGGAGGGTCAGCTATGCGTCAGTGCTGCTTTGATCGTACGTAATAACAGCAACCTCCTGAAAGAGATTCCAGTTTTTTACTAGAAGATAGTTCTTAGAGAACCCAGATTATAGTATTACCAGAGCAAAGGGCTCACCTGTAAGGAAGCCACCCTTCTTTAGTCACCCAAGTCTGTGAGGCCTAACTACCCACAGATGATCCTTCTGAAATTTTGGAGGTGACAGGTTTCCATAATGCCCAGAGCCCCCCTGGTAAATTATAGGCATGTCCAACCTTTCCCTTGAAGTGGATTAAGCACACAAAGGCTAACCAGCTGCTAAATGTACAGTATCTATAACTAAGGAAAAGTTAGGCTGTTGTGTTGCATTTTGAGTATATGTCATCATCAATGTTGAGTACAACTCTGTGGCACGTAACCATCCTAGGAACTAGGTGCAGTGTTTTAAGTCCACAGATGAAGTTTGTGTCTGACACCTGCACAAAGCCTGGGCACTTCCATAAATCCACACTCCAAGGCACTACCTATTCATCTCACCCCTTAAATAAACTTCCCCACAGCCCAATAATTTCATCTTCATAAACAACACTAGTAGAGAACTGAGAACTAAACCCCCAGATTCCTGAAAGGACCCTTTTTTTCACCATGCTACTGTCTATATTATAAGAAGTAGGTTATTGGGCTGGCTTTAGTTCAGTGGTTCCTTCTACAAGGTGTCATATTGACGTAAACTGCCTTAGGGTGATTTGAGACCCACAGGTGCTTCCCAGCCCTTTAAAAAAAGAAAAAAAGTAGGCTATTTATTCAGAATATTCACAGCTGTTTAAATATTTTGAAAGTCAATAACTCCATGCCTCCCTCTTTCCTTTCCTCTTTCTGCCATCTTTCCATGCTGCCACAATGGTGTGCATGAACGTCCTGGCTGATGCTCTCAGTACTGAAAAGAGAGGGAAGCACCAGGTTCTTAGCAGGCCACACTCCAAAGTCAAGTTTGGTTCCTAACAGTGATGATGAACCATGGTTACATTGGTGAATTTTAAATCATTGATGATCACAGAGCCAGGAAAATTATTGTCATCCTCACAGGCAGGTTAAACAAGTGTGGCATGATCAGCCCCAGATCTGATGTGCAACTCAAAGATCTAAAACAGTGGCAGAATCATCTCCCGTCCTGTCAGTTTGGTTTCATTGTACTGACACCTCAACTGGCATCATGGAAGTGAGGAAGAAGCAAGATAAAAACACACAAGAGGAAAAATCCTTTTAAAGTCCTTTTTTCTTAACAGAGGTGTAACTGAGTGATTAAAACTGGTTTTGTTTTTCACCCACCATGTCTTTCCCAGGGCTGAGACTTCAGAGACCTCAGGGACTTCTTTCAGCGTTCACTGAAACCTCCTCCACCCTGGTGATGGCACAGAGGGACTGTTTTCTTCATCCTCCTCTGAATAACTGCCAAGAAGAACAGCAAATGCAGATCTGGTGGATCTCTGACTCTCATAGCTTCTGATTTCAGACCTTATAGGACCCCTTCATGAGCACAAGGATAAAGTTCACTTCAGCAAATGGTCTTTAAGCCATGAATGAGACGTCTGACTCTTTGCATAATGAGGAAGAATTAAAAGGACAGGTTAGTAAAGGTGGTGTGGGCTTGGGATGTACTGTTAATAGTATTAAGATACATATCAAAAGAATATGGAGCTTTTAAAAAAAATATGGAGCTTGAGAATCTTTCTAGGGTGATAAAACCCACCTTCATTGTAGCCCTCTTTGATCTTTTATAGGATTTTGCTTTTCCTTTGTTTTGATAACCAAAACCAGACTTTGTCCTGTCAACTTGCTTCCCACTCTTAAAAACCTTCCATGTAACTCAATCAGAACAGACTGCCTCATTTTCTGTTCTTTGGAGCAACTGGTGGATTCAAACTGCTGACCTTGCAGTTAGTCCAACCAGATAATCCATGAATCCCCCTGAAATCTGCATGGCCTTTTTCCTTGACCTTATCCACATTCGGACTTGGGTTCAGTATAATATGTCTGTTATGAGCCTGTCAGCAAATTCCACATTAGTTACTTCTCCCCACATTGACCAGAAATGTTCTTAAATTGAATTTAGGGGATTAGAGCAAGACCGGGACAAAGTTCTGTGACTCTAGGAGGATTTTCTTAGCAGTATAAAAATAGGTAAACTGTTTTAGAGAACAACCTTTGAGTAACGGAGAATACTGAATTAGAGAAGAAAAAGAATGATTAAATGAATCCTGAATGCACAGATCCCTGCAAGCAGTTGTTCAGTACTGTAAGTCACTTGATATATCTGACAACATTTTCTAATAACATTGGTGGTTTTGTGGTAGTCCCAGATTTGGCTCTTCCATGCAGTAGATCCAGATTTGGATCCTGGCCAGTGTACCTCATTCTGCAACCTTTACCTGTCTGTCTTTGGAGGCTTTCATGTTTCTGTTATACTCAACAGGTTTCAGTGGAACTTCCAAACTCACATAAACTCAGAACAAAGCCCTGGAAATCTGTTTCCACAAATAAGTCAGTGAAAACACAAGTCCAATTTTTATCCAGTCATGGGAATGGCACTGCATTGAGTAATAATTCATTCTGTTGTGTGTGGAGTCACCATGAGTTGACAACAACTATGCAATTAATGTGTGGAAACCATAAAAGAAGTAGAAGAGCGTTATATTCAAAACATCATAAAATCTGATGCAAGGAATGGGGTGAGAAATGGAAGAAGTAGACTTTTGCAGAAGAACTTGTGCTACATACAGAAAGGGCTATACGATTAAGAGAAGTAAGAGACCTTTGTATATCACATATGGAATGGAGGTCACATTGAAAAGGTGAAACTCAGACCATCTTCCTGTGAGAACTCATTTGCTTTTAGAAATCTTTCCAAATATTAAAATCTCTCTTGAATTTTTTTTTTAAAAAAGAAAAGGTGAAACTGTTCTTTAAGAGACCAGAAGACACACAGAAGGTGGGAGTGTATCCTGATGGAAAACCACAAGAGCCAAGGTACAAGAACAAGTAGAGGAACTGCAGATGTATTTATGGACTTGGAGTGGGAGCTAATAACGCATTGAAGGGAGTTTGCTCAGCACTGGTATGTTTAGACATTCATCTTTGTCTCCAAGGAAGATTTGTTAGTTGGCAGAAATATACAGAAAAGATTAGAACAGCAAGATAATCTGGGATTTCAAGACACTATTATATGGTTCAAAATCTGAATGGTATGTAGAGTGAAAAAGATTCCTTCTCCATTTATTTCCAAGAATTTCAGTTTCCCTTTTGGCAAAATTGCTGTTTATTCTTGTCAAAAAATAACCAGTTAAAGTTGGGTTCAGGAAACAGCTATAGGTTTTTTTCTTTTTAAATTTTATTGTGATTTTAATTCTTCTCTATGGCTACACAGACCTTGCTGAGTAGCCAAAAGCCAAACTAAATGCCAGCCAATTTATTCTGACTCATGAGTTTCCAAGACTGTGATTTTTAAAAAAAAAGAAATTATTTTATTTACAAAGTTCAAAAACATGTTTTTCACACCATATCCTTCCCATTTCCTTATCTCCCCCCCCCATTAAACTGTGTAACCTTATGATTAATGCTCCCCCTGCACTGTCCATCCTCAGCCCTTTGCTCCCACCCTCCCCCAATTTGGATCCTCATACTCATTCTACAATAATGTTCTTACACAGTATTCGTCCTTATGAGACTGAGTTAGTTCGCTTAGCATGATGTTCTCCAGTCCCTCCCAAGTTAGGTAGTAATTTACAAAATCATTGCTCCTGCATGCTGCATAGTATTACATCATGTGAATGTACCATAATTTCTCACTCCATTCGATTGTGTTTGGACCTTTGGGCTGTTTCCATGTCCTTCAATGGTGAATAACACTGCTGTGAACATTGGTGTACAAGTTTCTGTGCTTCAGTTCTCATTCTCTCAGGGCATATTCCAAGAATATTCCCAGCATGTCATAACAAATTTCTATGTTCAGCTTTTTGAGGAAGCACCAAACTGCCTTCCAGAGTGATTGTACCATTTTTCAATCCCACCACCAATGTATTAGCATTCCTTTCTCGCCACATCCTCTTCAACATTGATTGCTTGCTGTCCTGTTTTACCACTGCTACTGGATTGAGATTTGTGGTTTTGATTTGCATCTCTCTTGCTGCTAGTGATTTTGAGCATTTCTTCGTGTGTCTGTTGGCCATCCACATATCTTCCTCTGTGAAAATTCTTTCCATGTCGTTTGCCTATTTTGTAATTGTGTTATCAGTCTTTTTCTTGTGGAGGCCCTGTAAGATTCTATAAACTTTTTAGATGAGACCCTTGTCTGAAATGGGATTGCCAAATATTTTTTTCCCAGCCAGTAGGTTTTCTTTTTACTCTGTTGAAAAAGGTTTTTGATGCGCACACATTTACTCTTTAGAAGATCCTATTCGTCAATTTTATCCTCTCCAGGTTGAGCATTTCTGATTGTATTTGGCAGTCTCTTTATACTATAGACTAAGCCATCTATTGGAAGCAGGAGAGGCATCCACTTCCTAAACAACATGCCTCTGGAGACTATGAACTTTGAGAAATGATGATTGTTTATAGAAAGGCTTCAGGTCTTTTGTTCATAGGGTTGCTATGAGTCATGCTCTACTTAACAGAAATCAACAACAACAGGCCATCTAAGCTTGATCCCAGGTTGTCTCTGATGAACTTTATGGTTTTGGGCTTTACTGCCAGGTCTCTGATCTACCTTGAGTTGATTTTTGTGTATGGTGTGAGATGTGGATCCTGTTTCAGCTTTCTGCAGGTAGCAGTCCAGTTTTGCCAGAACCATTTGTTGAAGAGATTGTCATTTCCCCATTTGATAGGTTTGATTTCCTTGTTGAATATCTGTTAACCATAGATCCATAGATAGCTGGATCTATTTCTGGGTTCTCAGTTCTGTTCCATTGGTCTATGTGCCTGTCATTGTACCAGTACCGTAACGTTTTATTTACCAAAACTGTGTAGTAGTTTTTGAGGTAGATTTTGAGGTCAGGGAGTGGCATGCCTCCCACTTCATTTTTGTCTCTCAGAAGTGTTTTGCTTATTCGAGGTCTCTTTCCTTTCCAAATAAACATGCCAATTTCCCTTCCAATATCCTTGAAAAATGAATTTGGTATCTGCATTGGGATTGTGTTGAACTTGTCGAATGCTTTTGGTAGGATTGTCATTTTCACAATATTGAGTCTTCCTATCCAAGAACAGTCCACATTTTTCCATTTCTTTAGGTCTTTTATTATGTCTCGCAGAAATGTTTTGTAGTTTTCTTTGTACAGGTGTTTTGTATCTCTCGTTAGGGTCACTGTCAAATATCTCAATTTGTGATTGCCTATTGTAAATGGTGCAGTGTTCCCCTGCTCTCTTTGCACAACAGCCTCCTGGTCCAGGTATAGGTTCTGTATGAGCACAATTAAGTGCTCTGGGATTCCCATTTGTTATGATCCACACACTCAATGCCTTTGCCTAATCAATAAAGCATGAATATACATTCTTCTGGTATTTTTTACTTTTAGCGAGTATCCATCTCACACCAGCAGTGATATCCCTGGTGCCACAGCCTCTTGTAAATCCTGCTTGAGCTTTTGGCAGTTCCCTGTCTATGTACTGTTTTAGTCATTTTTTTAATGACCTTCAACAGCATTTTGCCTGCTTATGGATATTAATGATATTGTTCAATAGTTTCCACAGTCAGTTGGATCACCTTTCTTGGGAACTGAAACAAATATGGACCTCTTCCAATCTATTGACCAGACAGCTGTCCTCTGAATTTCCTGGTATAGACTGGTGAGCACATCCAAGGCTGCATCTATTAATAGAAGTAAGTCAGTTGGTATCCCATCGATTCCTGGGGGCTTATTTTTACTGGTGCATTCAATGCAGCTTCTACTTCCTCCTTCATTACCATTGGCTCTTGCTCATATGGTACTTCCTGAAATTTATCAGTGTCAGTTATTTCTGGTACAGTGACCCTGTATATTTCTTCCATCTTCTTTTGATGTTTTCTGGGTCATTCAATATATTGCCCATAGTATCTTTCCGTTCTTTCAGCTTGAGAAATGCAGAGCAAGGTCTTCCCTTTTTATTCTCCAATTCCAGCTCTCTGCACATTCCATAATAAAACTTTGCTTCGTCCTCCCTAGCTTCCCTTTGAAATCTTATGTTCAGTTTAAAGTTGAGAAGAGAATGCATCAGAGTTGTAATCTCTTTCCATACCTATTTAGTCTTTATGCTGAGCAAATTATACAAGAAGCTGCACTCTTTGAAGAGGAGTGTGGCATCAGAATTTGAGGGAGACTCATAAATAACCTGCAATATGCAGATGATACACCTTGGTTGATGAAAGTGAGGAGGACTTGAGGTACTTATTGGAGAAGATCAAAGAATGCAGCCTTCAGTATGGATTGCTTCTCAATATCAAGAAAACAAAGATTCTTACCACTTGACAGATAGGCAGTGTCATGATGAATAGAGAGGAGATTGAAACTGTCAACAGCTTCATTTTGCTTGGATCCACAATTACCACTCTTGGTACAAGCAGTCAGAAAATGAGGAGATGCACTGCAGTGGGAAAATCTGCAGTTAGGGACCTCTCCAAATTATTGAGGAGTAATGATGTCAGTTTGAGGACTAATAGACATCTGATTCAGGCCATGGTCTTTTCGAATATTTGCTATGCCCCTGAGAGCTGGATAATTAATTAAGGATGACAGAAAAAGAATTGATGCCTTTGAGCTGTGGTGTTGGAGCAGAGCACTGAATATCCTATGGATGGCCAAGAGAACAAACAGATAGGTCTTGGAGAGAGTGAGCCCGAATATTCTTTGGAGGCAGGAAAGATGAGACTTCACCTCACATACTTTGGGCATGTTGCTAGGAGGGGCTTTTCCTCGGAGGACATGATGCTGGGAAGGGTGGAAGGTAGGCTCAACTAGGCGGATTGACACAGTGACTGCTGGAGTGGACTCGTGTGTCAGGAAGTGTGAGGACAATGCAGGATAGAACAGGGTTCAGATCTTTTGTTCATAGGGTCACTAAGAGTCAGATTTGACTCGATGGTATCTAACAACAATGACAATTGTAAATGGTATTGCTTTCTTGGTTTCCTTCTCTGAGTTTTCTTTGTTACTATAGAGGAATTCCACTGACTTTTGGATATTGATCTTATGTCCTGCTGCTCTACTAAATTGTTCTACTAGCTTTAACAGTATTTTTGTTGAGTCTTTGGGGTTTTCTGTGTACACTATCATATCATTTCTTTGCTGATATGGATACCTTTTATTTCCTTCTCTTGTCGTATTGCCCTAGCAAGCACTTCCAATACATATTGAACAAAAGCGGTGACAGTGGCCATCCTTGTCTGGTCCCTGTTCACAAGGCAAATGTTTTTAGTCTTTCTCCATTGAGAACGATACTGGCTCATGGTTTTGCATATATACTTTTCACTATGTTGAAGAAATTCCCTTCTATTCCAATTTTGCTAAGTTTCTTTAACAGGAAGGGTGTTGAATTTTGTCAAATGCCTTTTCTGCATCAATTGCTAAGATCATGTGGTTCTTAATATTTGCTTTGTTAATATTTTTAATTGCATTGATTGTTTTTCATATGTTGAACCATTCCTACATGCCTGTTATGAATCCTGCTTGGTCATGATAGATTCTTTTTCTGATGTGCTTTTGGATTCTGTTGGCTAGGATTTTGTTAAGGATTTTTGCATCTGTATTCATGAGAGATATTGGTCTTTAGTTTTCTTTTTTGGTATTAAGGTTATACTTACTTCATAGTATGACTCAATGCTATGACTCTTCATAGGACAAGGTTGCCTCATCTTTCTCAGCAATTGGTGGACTTGTGCATTCAGATTACTTTTCATAGCTTTGGGTTTTTTCCCTCCATTTTCCCCCCCTACTTTATTAGATACTTCTAGTCCTGATGCCTCATTCTTCTTAATATAGTCCAGCTTCTCAAATTATTTTCTCAGCATATAGATTGGATAGGTGTGGAGAAAGGATACAACCCTAATACATGTGGCCTCAAGATTGAAGGAAGACTCATCAACAACTTACATTATGCAGATAACACAACCTTGTGTAAAGAAAAGTAAAGAAAGTAAAGAAGATCAAAGACTACTGTTGCTCAACATTTGGCCCTAGACTATCCTTAATCTGATCCAGATATCTCAACTCTGCCTGCCCTGCAAACACATGGCCCGCCTACATCATCAACATCTGAAGAGGCCATTTCTGCTTCATGCAAATAGGGTATGTTAGTCTATCCAGAAGGAAATTGACTAGTTTCTCCATTACACTTAGTATATTCAGTGGCAGAAAGTGGGAATCTCACCACCAAGAAAGAACAGGAAACAGATTGCAGCACATATCCTTCAGGGCCAGAGATTCCTGCACCAGGGATTGTATCTTGCTGTTAATTGAAACTAAGGGATTTATCTTGCTGTTATTTGAAAAGCTCTCTCACCTGAGGGATTGTATCATGCTGTTCACCTGAATTACAATTGTTGATTTTCCAAATAAACCCTATAACTGTGAGTATGGTTCTGTGAAGTCTGTGTGATCACTGCAACATAGTTTGTACCCAGTAAGTAGGTTCAGGAGCATGGGAAGACATGTCTGACCTCATGGGAATTAGTTTTGTTTTGTGGATGTTATTGATGGGGGCAGTTTCCCCCTGTGGAGCTAGCAGAGGTCAGACTTAACCATCCCCACATTGCCCTTGCTCTAAGCCTTCAATATGGATTGCATCTCTATATCAAGAAAACAAAAGTCTTCACCACTGGACCAATAAGCAGCATCATAATGGAGAAAAAAAGATTGTGGTTGTCAGGGGTTCTATTGTACTTGAATCCACAATCAACATCTATAGTAGCAGTAGTCAGGAGATCAAAAGATGTGTTGCACTGGGAAATTTTGTTGTCAAGGACTTCTTTAAAGTGCTAAAGAACAAAGATAGCTATTTAAAGATTAAGATGCACCTGACCCAAGCCAAGGTATTTTCAGCTGCTTGGGATGCATCTGAAAGTTGGACAATAAGTAAAGATGACAGAAGAATTGATGTCTTTGAATTATAGTGTTGCTGAAGGATACTGAATATCCCATGGACTGGAACAATCTATCTTAAAATAAGGGAAAACAGAGTTTTGCTGAAAGGCAAGGATAGTAAAACTACTTCACATCCTTTGGGCATGGTTAGTTGGGACTAGTCCTTGGAAAAAGGTGTCATGCTGGGAAAGGTGGAGGATCACACAGGAAGACCTTCAACAAGATGGTTTGACATACTGACTGTACCAGTGAGCTCACGTATGTTGGAAATCATGAGGATGGTGCAGGATAGGATAAGGTTCTGCCTAGCATCTCTATGAGTTGTAGTCTACTTGAGGGCACACAGCAACAACATCAGATACCTTGGATAGTGACACTTTTCAGAGTGTAAGCAGTGGTAGCTAAGTGCTATCTCGTTTTGATGGTCTCAAGATTATGGACACAGAAGTGTACATGGCCCACAAGTCTTTTAGTCTTCCAATTTCTTCCCTTTTCTTTGCTCTAGATGGAAAGAAACCAGTAGTTGTACCTTGATGGCCACTCACAAGCTTTTAGGACCTCTAATCATTGAAGTAGGCTATAGAATATTATTTTATGGACAATGTTATGCCAATTGACTTGAGAGCCCCTGCGAAGCTGATCCATTTTTGTGACACTAGGGGGAGAGGGTTTGGCATTTAAATTATCGTCTTTGTGGGATTGATATATACCCATGAAATTGATCTTGGTTATATCTTTCAGGTTGAAACAATGCCTGCTGCGTTCTCTCCACCATATGACAAGGAGAATCACATTCTTCCCACTTTCAGAAGAATTCCTGTATGTATTTCTCATACTTCCATGGCCCCTGTCAAGGCAAGCTTCTGTCATGCACTGTTGTAGAGTTGAGTGCTAAGCACTGGGACGCAGGATGTCATTGACCCTGCCCTTTAGGATCTCTTGCTGAGGAGAGGGAGTGAGGGACACAAACTTTCTACAACCACCTCTGTTTAGTGAGGACATAGTTATAATGAAGAAGCAGAGTATAACGTATAGTGGGAATACTAGTGTCTTCAGAGTTGTGTAAATTTTTGTGTGTTCACTTTCAAAGGGGGAAACACATTTGTCCCCCACATTGCCCAACTTTGAGATGGTAATTAGAGTTTTCCAAGTACCTGACTTTAAAAATGGCCTTAAATAACCCATCAAGGCAAACTAGCTCCTTCTGGCCATTTCAAGGGACATTTAGCATAGTAGGTGGGCAGTGATGTATGGATTCCATCCTCACCCTAAAGTTCTGCTGCTCCTACAGATCTCAGAGTTGAAGAACCACAGTATCCTGCAGGCCCTGACAACAGAAGCACATGAATGGGAGCCAGCCAGTAAGGTCCCCCTTAAGGGCCCAGGTGTGTGGGAAGGGTCCTAGGCAGACCTTCTGGTGGACTTATTGTTCAGCGTTTGGTTTGCTCTCACTCCTTGTTCTGTAGAAGATTGGTATCAATACTTTGAGAAATCAAAGACATGAGTTCTAATGTTTTTCTGCCAACAGTCTACTGAGTACATCTTACAAGTCATATCATCTCATTTCTACAGTGGAGAGATCAATACCTCCCTTACATTCATGGAGGTATTATGAAAATCAAGTGAGATAGGCTTTTAAAAAAGTATTCTATTTAATCTTCTTCACATAGTCCTTTCTGTCCTATAGTTAAAGCTCACTGCTAATTTCTTACTGAAAAAAACACACTCAATAATTCAGAAACTCTATCTAGGTCTTAAATATCTCTTGTTTAAATCCTGGCTGTCATGAGATAGCTATAGGATCTTGAGCAAGTTACTTACCTTTCTAATCCTTCATTTCTTCATCTGGCCAAATGACTGGAAGAGATCCATATTTGTTCCCATTCCAAAGAAAGGTGACCTGACAGAGTGTGGAAACTATTAAATCGTATCGTTAATGTCACATGCAAGCAATATTCTGCTGAAAATTATCCAAAAACTACTGGAACAGAACATCAACAGAGAATTGCCAGAAGGGCAGGCTGAGTTTAGAAGAGGCCATGGTACTAGAGATATTATAGCTAATGTTAGATGGATCTTGGCTGAAAGCAAAGAGTACCAGAGGATGTCTATCTGTGTTTCATTGAGTAGGTAAAGACATTTGACTGTGTGGATCACAACAAACTGTGTCTGACTCTGAGAAGAATGAGAATTCCAGAACATTTGATTGTGTTTATGCAAAACCTGTACTTGGACCAGGAGGCAGTCATCAGAACAGAGCAGGGAAACATGCATAGTTCAAAATCAGAAAGGTTGTATGCCAGGGATGTGTCCTATCTCCATACCTTTTTGGCCAATATGCAGAACAGATTATCCAGGAGGCTGGGCTCTATGAAGAGAATATGGCAGCAGGATTGGAGGTAGACTCATCAACAGTCTGCGTTATGCTGATGACACAACCCTTCTCGCTGAAACCAAGAAGGACCTGAAGTACATTTTGCATAAGGTCAAGGACTGCAGCCTTCAATATGGATTGAAGCTCAGCATCAAGAAATTAACAATTCTCACCACTAGATCAATGGGCAGCATCATGATGGATGGTGAAGAGACTGAGATTTGTTAACACCTTAAGTTTGCTTGGCTCCACAGCCAACATTCTGGGTACCAGCAGCAAGGAAATCAGAAGATGAATTGCACTGGGAAAGTCTGCTGTCAGAGACCTCTCCAGAGTACTGAAGAAGAGCAACAATGTCCGTCTGGAGACTAAGGTGCACCTGGTCCAGGCCATGGTCTTTGCAGTTACTTGCTATGCATCAGAAAGCTGGACATTGACTAGGGATGATAGAAGGAGAACTTGATGCCTTGAGCTGTGGTGCTGGAGAAGAATATTGAATATACCATGAACTGCTAGAAGAACAAACAGGCTTGTCCTGAGAGTGAAACCAGGCTGCCCCTTGGAAGCAAAGATTCTGAGGCTTCGTCTGACATACTCTGGACATGTTGCAAGGAGCAGCCATTGGAGAGGGATGTCATGCTTGGGAGGGTGGAAGAACAGTGCAAGAAAGGAAGACCCTGAATGGGTTGAATTGATTCAGTGTCTGGGATAATGGGGATAGCTGTGTCAGAAACAATAAGATTGGCAAGGATAGAGCAGGGTTTAGAGTAGTCATACATAGGGTTGCTACGTGTCTCAAGCAACTCAACAGCACATAACAACAACAATAGATCAGAGATTATATTAGAACCTGCCTTAAAGAAATTTTGTAAGGATTACATGAGAAAATGTAAATAAAGTGCTTTTTGTTGTTTTTTATTGACACATAGCTGACCCTCTTTTGGGTTATCAGAGGCAGTAAATTGAACAGGAGAAGACTGCTCATCTTTTCCCGAAGGAGCAGCGGGTGGATTCAAACTGCATGCCTTTGAGTTTGCAGCATCACTCTTTATCTCTAAGCTACAAGTACTTACCACATAAAATGCAAATCATAGTGAGTGTTCATTAGTATGAATCTTTCTAGTTATTTATTACTCCTGCAACCTAAACTGTAACATTTCAAATATGATACTTTTTAAATACGTTCTGCTTTTAATAATGTAGAAAATTAATTTGTGAGTCTGTCAAGTTCTTTTTTAATGTATAACTTTGCCTTTATTACATGACGATAAACCCAACATTATTAGGCATTTTAAATACTGAGATTTTTTTAAATTTTAAATACCACAAGCACTGATGTGCCAGGTACTTTTTTATATTGATTTGCTTACTAAGTTCATACACATTGTTTTTCACACTATCCTTCTACATTGTGTTTCATACAATAATTTTGATTCTTTTATTTTTTTAATTAATCAACACTAAATTATACCCACCATTGCTCTGTCCTCCAGATCCCTGCTAGATCTTTCCCATTTCCTTTACCTACCCCTCCCTCCATCCATCACGTGATGTGACCCTATGATTACCCCCTGCCCGTCCTCACCCCACTCTTCCTCCCCTCCCCTCCTTGGATCCTCACACACGTTTTACTAGTGATCTTTATGTTTCTACAGTTATGGTCTCATACTGTATTTGTCCTTATGGGACTGGGTTAGTTGACTTAACATAATACTCTCTAGTCCCTCCCAAGTTACTTAGTTATTTTTTAAATAATTGCTATTGAATCCTGCGTAGAATTCCATTGTGTGAATGCACCACCATTTCTCAGTTCATTCGATTGTGGTTGGACATTTGGGCTTGTTTCCATGTTCTTGCCATGATGAATAACGCCTCTGTGAGTACTAGTATATAGATCTCTGTTTGTGTCTCAGTCCTAATTTTCTTGAGTGGAAAAGGTGGATCATATGGAATTTCTGTGTTCAGCTTTTTGAGGAATTACCAAACTGCCTTCCAGAATGGTTGTACCATTTTACAATCCCACCGCTAGTGTATGAGAGTTCTGAGCTCTCCACATCCTCACCAACATTTTTTACTTGTCCTGTTAAACTTGGCCACTGCTACTGGGGTGAGATGGTATCTCATTGTGATTTTGTCTGCTTCCAGGTACTTTTTAATTGTATGAAACAATTTAAACTTTTTTCAACATTGCTTTTGGCTGATGGCACAGGATAGGACAGGGTTCAGATCTGTTGTTTGTAGAGTCGCTGTGAGTTCAAACTCGATTCAACAGCACCTAACAACACTAATGTAAGTTCATTGCAAAAACTAGTTGCCTTTGAATCAATTCTGACTCAGTAAATCTGGAGTGCTAGAGTGAACCTGCTCTGTAGGGTTTTCAATGAGTGCCTTTATTAGGGAAAACCACCAGGCCTTTCTTCCAGGTGAACATCAACCTCTAGCCTTGTAGTTGGTAACTGAGTTCATTATGCTTTTGCATCTCTCAGACACTCAGCTTTGATAGACTAGAGAAAATAGCAATGCTGTGTACTTATGAATAAGTGGAGTAGAACCCTAAATAAAGAAGGCAGTTGAAAGAAAAGATGCAGAAGAGTACTGATGTCCGCTGTGTTGTTATGCTGAAGATTTGCCCTTTTTCCTCATGTCCTTTTGTTCATCAGGATCCTCTTCAGAAGAACCAGGAGGGTCTATCTGGTTCCAAGAGGAAAGAAAAGCTTCTGTCCAGTGTGGGCATTTGTAGATCTTGGATGAAGTTTTTTAGACATCAGATTGATGTTGCTACTTGAGACCAGACCTTCTGTTGACTCCTGCTATGACGGCAAATGGCCATGCTCTTTCAGGGAGGTTTATGCTCCTGTCTCACAGATTATTTGTAGGTGAGTGGTGAGGGGTCAAAGATGGATCACAGTGCTGAAGATTTGAAGAGTGCAGATGAGAAGTTGAAGAGTGAGGAACTACAGAGCTGTGTGTAAGTGAGATGAGGAGTCAGAGGACGCTTTCAGCCTCATGATAAGAGTTCTTTGTTGTTGCTCCACTCCTGCTTCTGCTCAGGTTTCTTCATTTCCCAAGGGTTCAGCACGTTTTATGTCTTGACCAGCCAAGTATTCTGCTTGATTGTTTGTCTTGGAAACACTGAGGCACCATGTCTGCTCATCCATTCAGAGTTTAGGGCTGACAAGATTGAATTAGACCCAGCATTCATGACCTCTACCCCACATCACATTTGAACATCATGCATGCTGTAGTTACCCAGCCCATGTTTGTAGCAATAATAATGTTTTTGTGATTGTTGGTAGGTGCCATTGAGTTGATAACAACTCTTTGCAACCCTATGAACAACAGATTTCAACTCTGTCCTTACCTGTCCCATCTTAATCATACCCAACACACTTGAGCCCATTGCCGCAGTCACTCTGTCAATCCATCTCACTGAGGATCTTCCTCTTTTGCTGACCCTCCACCTATCCAAAGATGATTCCTTCCCAAGGAATAGCCTCTTCTAGCAACAGGTAAGTGAGATGAAGCTTCTTCTAAGGAGCACTCTGGTTGCACTTTTTCCAAGACACATCTGTTTGTTCTTTTGCCAGTTCGTGAAATATTTTATATTCTTCTCCAATATCAGCCCTCAATGGCATTGATTCTTCTTCTGTCATCTTTATTCATTGTCTAGCCCTCAGATGCATAATGAATGATTAAAAAGACCATGGCTTTAATCAGGCACATCTTAGAATTTACGGTGACATAATTGTTCTTCTAGACCTTGGAGAGATTCCTGACCACAGGCAGTAAGAATAGGTGGTGTTTACTGGGCACTGGCCTTTATTCCACATTTGCTTCCAAATTGCACAGTTACCGCTTGTTTATTAGGGAGAGAAGAGGGAGCTTTGACAGCCTAGTGTAAGGAGCTGCACTGCCAACCATAAGGCTGTTTACATCTACTAGCAGCTCCTGGGAGAAAGATAGGCAGTCTCCTCTGGTGTGATTTACAGCCTCTGAAAACCTGCTGGAGAGCCAGCTATTAGTGGTTCCAATTGGACCACATGTAGCAGTGGCAACATGGTGAGAGATTGTCTGATGCTTAAGTAACTTGCCCAGGGAAGTAGCTGGTTAAGTGCTGGAGATGAACTGCAAGCAGGCAGTTTGCCCCAGCGTGTACTTCTTCTCCTTCTTCCAGCCACTTTATTTATTCATTGACCCTTAGTGTTCAGAGTTTCAGGCAGCATTTTGTTTTGTTGTCAAGTATACTCTTAATACAGTTCATTGCCATGTGAGTTTCTCAGCAAAGAGTGAAACAGAGAGTAGCTGCCCTGAACTGTTTTATATTTTTGGTGTTAAGCTGGTCTCTCCTTCCTTCACTTTGTCGATGCCCTCTGTTGGAAAGCGAGTGTTAGGAACTTCCTCTAGCAATTTGCCCTAAAGAATAAAAGTACACTGCACTGACATAGATGAGAGAGAGAACTATTTAAAAGGAATATATGATTAAGTATTATTTTCATTACAAGAGTCCAGAATAAGAGCTGCATAGTAAAGTGGACTGGGGAGGGGGGATTGTATAACAGTGAAAAGAATTTTTTTTTCTTTTCAAAGAGAAAAACAGACTTGGGGGAGGGGTGGGCAGGGAGGAAGATGTGTAAAAATGAATGAATGGGAATCCAAAGTCTCTATAAATTTCCATTAAAATTCCAATTCAAGAAAAAAGAATAGGCAAGCTCTGGTGGCCTAGAGGCAAGAAGCTGCACTGCAGTCTCAGAGGTGCACAGTTTGGATCAACTGGATGCTCTGCTGGAGAAGGAGGAACAATCTCCTCCTGTACCAGTCAGATCTGATTTGACGGTACACACAAAAAATAATAAAGTTAAAATTAAAGAAAAAAAGAATAAAAGCAATAGTTACAGAAAGCCCATCCCACTGCTTCCCCCCTCCCCTTACCATGCTTTTGGTGTCCCTGGCTGGCACATGTGATTAAACTCAGGTCTTCTAGAGAAATAAATGGTTGAAGGTTCAAGTCCACCTAGAGGTGCCTCAGAAGAAAGGTCTAGCAATCTATTCTTGAAAAACCACTCTTTGCACTATGTATGGAGCAGTTCCTCTTTGTCCCATGTGGGCTTGTCATGAGTCAGTCAACTTGAGGGACTTGTTTGGATTTGGTTATGGTTTTCATTCACTTGTACATGGAACCTTTTTTGAGCACCTAGCATGTGCCAAGCACTCTGCTGGGTTCTGTAGAAAGATGCCCTCATATAGGCCATAGTCTAGTCAGACAGGCAGTTCCCACACTCATGATGAATATATCCGGGTCCCTCAGGTGTGACTCCTAGTCCAGACTGATGAGGTGAAGGACAACCTCCAGTGAGTCAGTATCAGGGTTACCTGAAGGCTGAAATGGGGATTCATAGCCAGGGTTGGAAGGGAAGGTGACTCAGCAGGGGTGTGTAGTGTGTGCCCAGGTAGGTACAAGGAGGAAGGGGTCAAGTGTGTTGAGGAGCTTTCAGTAGCTGTGAATAGGCATAGGGCAAGCTAGGGAGGTAAGAAGGATGCAGGTGGTAGAGGTAACCAATGAAGGGTTGGGGTTTTACCTTGAGGGCTGTGGAAAGTCCCTGGGTTGAGGAGGGAGCTGCCTTTTCCATAGCTCATGCTGGCAGCTGTGAAGAAGCGTTAGAGTGGGACAAGACTGAGGCAAGCAGATGAGGTTGGGGTGGCTACAGCAGTCCAGACATACTCTGATCTCAGTGTCCTTTTCTCACTATTACAGTTCTAAGTACTGAGGTGCTCAGAGCCCAAGAAGAATGGGAAGCTGTGGACAGCATCCAGCCAGAGACCGGTAACTGCAGGCATGGCACACCCTTTGCACAGCCCTGCTCCTGACAGTGGCACCATCCTCTCTTGTGTAGACATCAGAGAGGATTGTGGTTAGGCTCAGCCTCTGTAGAGTGATGCACCTGGGCATAGGATGGAGGTAGGTAGCTGGAGCATTGGCAGAAGGTAGGGTAGGTTGTTCACTGTACAAAGAAGTCCCCGGGGTTGGTGCTAAAACCACCTGCTGGAAAGCAATGAGGGCTGGGAGAAAATGATCTCTCTTTCCTTTATGAGAGAAGTTGGGCAGAGATATAAGAGCACGGAGCTAGGAGTTTTATCTAACCTGAGCCCCATTTGACCTCTGCACATGTGTTCTCGTGGGCTCTCAGCCATCATCCATATTGCTAACTGATAAGTTAGTTTACTGTGTGCTCTAACTATGGATGAGGAGGGGCACATACAGGTGTGAGAAGGAGTGAAGTTGAAAGGACCCTTAGCTTAACTAGGACATGTTCATTCCTATGTAGGTTTCTCCTCCAGGCTTGACTTGTCCCATGACAGATGCGTGGAACATAGGGAGCTCCTTGCTGGATGGGTCTGTCCCATCACATCACAGAGGCCCATGTAACATGCCTCTGAACAGCCTCATCCAGAAAGGAGTCAGCCCAGCAGATAATTCCAGCCCCTTTAAGGGGGGCTGCTTGTAGCTGATGTTGGCAGTCTGAAGCCAGAGCTTGGACTGGAAGTGATAAAGAGAAGGCCCTCAGGAAATTTTGCTCACAGAATGGCCGTTGTTATAAGTCCTGGAATTTCTTCTGTTTTGCTTCAGGAAGCCAGGCTATTTTACACCAGCCTCAGCAGCTCATCTCCTTCAGTGAGGCCTTGCAGCACTTCCAGACAGTAGACCTCTCCTCCTTCAAGGTAAGGCTAAGGATTGGGATAACAACAAGTTCTTTTTGTTCTATGAGAAATGGGCAGACAGGATAGAAATGTTGAGGGTCCTTTCTTAGGTAAGAATTTAGGAACAGAGTTATGGTAACCAAGGTGCCACGTGTCCTGCAGGGCCCCAGTGGCCTCTCTAGAACTGTGCCCAGAGAGCTTTGCAATTCGATGCCTGTGTTGCCCTCTCCTACTCTTCCCTTAGGGATGGAGAGGTCAGGAATCAAATGGCAGAACTCCTTGTCTAGGGATCCGAGTGAGTCTGGCCAGTACAGGAAAATCTACCTTTTCCTCAATAAAGTAGAAAATAATTGGGAATTTAAAGATGTGTGGAGATAAAGAAAGAAAACGTGTGGCAAATAAAGGCCTGGGGTCTTTCTAAGACATCATGAGTGGCCAGTACTGGCTTTAGTTAAGTGCAATTACTGATTTTTTGTCTAGCGCCTAGCTCAAGAAAAAGACTAAAGACCAGGAATGTGGTTGGATTGTAGGACTTAGAGAGCGTGAACACACCAGTGTCACAGTATTCTAAGGCTCATGGCAGTGGCCGTAAGCCACAAGAAGCCAGCATAACCCAGTTTTGGGAGCACTGGCTACAGTACAGACAGAAGGCACCAGCTACTCTGCAGATGCGTGGAGCTCTACTAAACACCCCTTCCTGTTGACTCTCCATCCTAGAAGTTGATATTGTGACTTAGGTTCTGTACAGAGAGAGACACACAGGCATACAAAAAAGGTAAAAACAGCCTTGCTGGAAATGTTGGCCACTTACCTGACACTGTGTGAGAGGTGGAGGGAGGTCTCTCCAGCTGGATGTCTCTTATCATTAAACCATTTGCTGTGGACACACTTCTGACCATGGTGACCCAGCTGCATCAGAGTACAACTGTGCTCCATAGGCTTTTCACTGGCTCCACTAAGAGCCCCTTTTTTAGAAGTGAGCCTTTCTTCTTAGGTACATCTGAGTGGTACAGACTTCCAGCCTTTCATCTAGTAGCTGAATATATGAACTGATGAGATGGTGGCATGGTCAGTTTGCACCATATCAGGACCTCCCTAGTCTTACTGGCTTTAAGGAACTAGTTCTGAGAAAGCCCAAGGCATGAATGCATGAATGCTGAGGACTGGCTGGGGACACCTAGACTTGGGGACATCTCCAGCAAAGGGCCCGAGAGCTGGAAGAGCCTGTCTCCAGACCAGCCTAGTTTTAACACAGCCTCTGCCCACTCTCCGTTACCCAGAGACCAGCCAGATGGCAGGAATTGCTTCTTTCCACAGAATTGTCATTGCATGTGGGCTTGACAGTTCTTTGTAGCAGGTGAACCCAGTGTTCAGCCAATTGCCTCCAATTTCCTCCCCAGAAAAAAATTCAGCCAACTATCCGAAGGACTGGTCTTGCTGCTCTCCGTCACATCCTCTTCGGTCCTCCAAAGCTTCACCAGGGCCTCCATGAAGAAAGGGATTTGATCCTGACCATTGCCCAGTGTGAGTGCCAGCCCCAGCCCCACTCAGGTGCTGCTCCAGGGCAGGTGCCGCACGTGTGCTCATACAGAGAGCACTTGCTCACCCTGGTAACTGAGGGTAAGCCACGGGCCATGCATGTAGTACCATAGTGAGGAGGAAACCTGCAGGCTCCAGATGTGGGACAAGAAAGTGTTTTAAGCACAGCCAAGACCCATTTTGGATGTATCCTCCTCTGTGAAGTAGCTAGTCCTCCTGTATGGAGCATTCTCACTGAGAGAAGGGATATGTTTTGGAGCAGGTGGCTTGGATAGCCAAGACCCAGTGCATGGCCGAATCCTCCAGACCATCTACAAGAAGCTGACTGGCTCCAAATTTGACTGTGCCCTCCACGGAGACCACTGGGAAGATCTGGGCTTTCAAGGTGAGACAGGAAGGAGTGGTTAATCTTTTCCTTGACTCTGATTCTAGAATAAAGCTGAGAGGCCAGCTAGTCCTGTTCCAAGCAGGGCAGCACCGTGGGGTAGCATATCTGGGGAGAAATGTTCCGGGAAGAGGGTACAGCAAATACAAAGATCCTAAGGTGAAACATGCTAGCTGTGCTTGATGAAATCAAGGAATGTGGCTGAAGTGGAGTAACATGAGGGACACTGGAATACATCACCGTGAAGAACAGTGAGAGGAAACATCTCTATAAAAGGCCTAAGTGAGAGAGGAAGCCACTGGAGAGATTTGCTTTCAAATCTGGGCTTTCCCCAACCCCCTTCTTTTTAAAAATGCTAGTAAAACTTACCTCTTGAGTGAAACAGAATGATTTCAACTCTTCTTGGTTTATGCTACTTGTATTGTTAAAAACCATATCCAGGGGAGCTCTGGTGGCCTCGTGGCAAGAAGCTGTACTGCAATCCCAGAGGTACACGGTTCAAATCCACCAGATGCTCTGCCGGAGAAGGAGGGACAATTTCCTCCTGTACCAGTCAGATCTGATTTGACGGTACATGCACAAAAAATAGTAATTAAAAAAATTTAAAAAAAATATCCAATTAAATTTATGTAGAGTATAAATCCTTTTAACTTCCTCTGTAAATATTTTCTCTATATTAAGAGTCTCATCAGACAGTGTGATGGTCCTTATTTATGCATCATGCATTATTTAAAAAACTCAACAGAAGGAAGATCTGTTGTATTTACCCATACATACCCTTTCTATTATTTTCTCATTCTTCTTGATGTTCTGAGACACGTTTCATCATTTCCTTTCCACCTCAAGACTGTGTGTGTGCATGTGTTAAAAAATATATATAAAAACAAATTACTCCAGAAAAACTGAATTTCTATCTGCAGAACACTGAAACAAGATCCGTATAGCATGTTGTTGTTGTTATGTGCCGTCAAGTCGTTTGCGACTCATAGTGACCCTATGTACAACAGCCCTAAACCGTGCTCTATCCCGTGCCAGTCTCATTGCCTCTGACACGCCCATCCCAATTACCCCAGTCACTGAATCAATCCACCTCATAGAGGGTCTTCCCCTCCTGCGCTGTCCCTCTACTCTACCCAGCATGATGTCCCTCTCTAAAGACCTGTCTCTCCTTACAACGTGTCCAAAGTATGTCAGGCGACAGAATCCTTGCCTCCAAGGAGCAGCCTGGTTTAACCCTCTCTAGGATGAATCTGTTTGTTTTCTTGGCAGTTCATGGTACATTCAATACTCTTCTCCAGCACCACAGCTCAAAGGCGTCAGTTCTCCTTCTATCCTCCCTAGTCATTGTCCAACTCTCTGATGCATAACAAGTGATTGCAAAAACCATGGCCTGTATCAGACGCACCTTAGTCTCCAAAGAGACACCGTTGCTCTTGAGTACTTTAGAGAGGTCCCTAACAGCAGATTTTCCCATCTCAATACGTTTTTTTATTTCCTGGCTACTGGTGCCAAGAGGGTTGACCGTGGAACTGAGCAAACTGAAGCTGTGAACACTCTCAATCTCTTCGCCATCCATCCTGATGCTACCGATTGGTCTGGTGGTGAGAATTTTTGTCTTCTTGACATTGAGCCTCAGTCCATACTGAAGGCTGCAGTCCTTGACCCTCTGCAGTGAGTGCATGAAGTCCTCCTCAGTTTCAGCGAGCAAAGTTGTGTCATCTGCATAACGCAGATTGTTGATAGATCGTCCACCAATCCTAACGCCACGCTTCTCCTCATAGAGCCCAGCCTCCCGGATAATCTGCTCTGCATACAGGTTGAAAAGGTATGGAGATAGGACACATCCCTGGCGTACACCCTTCCCAATTTTGAACCATGCAGTGTTGCCCTGCTCTGTTCTGACGACTGCCTCTTGGTCCAAGTATAGGTTTCGCATTAGCACGATTAAACGTTCTGGGATTCCCATTCTTCTCAGAGTCAGCCACAATTTGTTATGATCCATGCAGTCAAATGCCATACAGCATACCATATTTAAAAAACTAACTTAAAAAAAACAAAACAAAACCTAACTTAAGGTGGATCAAAGATAAAAAAGTAAAACCAAAATTTTTCATAAGATTATCAGATAAAAAATAGAAACAAAGTTAGGAGTTCCGACCTACATAAAAAGACTATCAAACATCACCAAAAAAAATGTACAACTAGGTTAGGAGAAAATAGATGAATGGAACTTTCTAAAATTCAAGATTCTCACCACATAGCTAATTGACAACATATTGATAAATGGAGAAAAGATTGATATTGTTAATAGTTTCATCTTGCTCAGGTCTACAATCAACAATCTTGGCACTAGCAGTCAAGAAATCAAAAGATGTGTCGGGCAAAGTCTGATGTCAGTCTAGAGACCAAAGTGTATCTGATCCAGACCATGGTCTTCTCAGTTACTTGCTGTACATCTGAGAGCTGAACAGTGATTAAGGATGACACTAGAAGAATTGATGCCTTTGAGCTGTGGTGCTAGAGAAGTGTATTCAGCATACCATGGACTGCCGAGAAAACTAACAGTTCTGTCCTGGAGAGGTGAGACCAGATCGCTTCTTGGAGCCAAGGATTTTGAAGCTCTATCTCACATACTTTGGGCATGTTGCCAGGAGGGACCAGTCCTTGGAGAAGGACATCATGTTTGGAAGGGTGGAGTCAGCACAGGAGAGGAAGACCCTCAAGAGAGGATGAGATGGATTGACATGGTGATTGTAGCAATGGGGACAGATGTGTCAGAAACTGTGCGATTGGCTCAGAATAGGTCAGGGTTCAGAGCTATTGTTTGTAGGGTCACTCTGCTTTGTAGTCAATGCAATAGAACATAAAACATATGCATAAAAAAGAATTTATCCAAAAGAGTTAAAACAGAGCCCACAGACTAGGGAAAAATATTTGGCAATGACATATCTGACATGGGCCTTATATCTAAAATTTATAGAAAATTTGAGTACCTCAAAAAGAAAAAGATAATCCAATTACAAAATGAGTAGAAAAAAGAAAAAAACTGTTCACCAGAAAAGACATGCAGATAACCAACAAACACATGAGGAAATGCTCAAGATCACTAGTTAGTCAACTGAACTCATTGTCGTCAGTTGGGAACCAAGTCATTTTGACCCTCCCATGCATCTTCAGAAGCTGTAAATCGAATGGCAGAAGATTGCTCATTTCTCTCCTGAGGAGAAGCTAATGGATTCAAGCTGCCTATTGATGTTGTCATTTGGCGCCACCAGATCCAGTACAACTCAAAGTGACCCTGTGAACAACTGATCTGAACCCTGTCTGTCATGTGCCATCCTCATCATCTCTGACACACTCAAGCTCATTGCTGTAGTCAGTGTCAGTCCATCTCGTTGAGGGTCTTCCTCTCATTCACTGACACTCCACCTTTCCAAATTCCCTTCCTTGGAGTAGCTTCTCCTAGCAACATGCCCAAAGTATGTGAGACAAAGCTTCACCATTCTTGCCTCCAGGGAGAACTCTGGCTGCACTTTTCCCAAGACATACCTGTTTGTTCTTTTGGGATGGATATTCAGTACTCTTCTCCAACACCATTGCTCAAAGACACCAATTCTTCTTCTGTCATCTTTATTCATTGTCCAGTTCTTTGATACAAAGGATGTGATTAAAAAACCACAGCCTAAAAAAAAAAAATTAAAAAAATAAAAATAAAAACCATGGCCTTAATCAGATGCATCTTAGTTTTCAAACTGATATCTTTGCTTCTCAGTAATCTGGAGAGGTTCCTGACAACAGACTTGCCCAATGCAATATGTCTTCTAATCTGCTGGTACCAAAGGTATTGATTATGAATCCAAATAAGATGAAATTATTGACAATTTCAATCTTTTCCCCATCTATCATGATGTCGAGTGGTAAGGATTTTTGTCTTCTTGATGTTGAGATGTAATCTATATTGAAGGCTGTAGTCTTTGATCTTCTACAGCAAGTGTTTCAAGTCCTCCTCACTTTAAACAAGTAAGGTTGTGTTATTTGCATAATGCAGTTTGTGAATGAGTCTTCCTCTGATTCTGATGCCACATTCTTTTTTATAGAGTCTGGTTTCTCCAATGATTTGCTCAGCATAGAGATTAAGTAAGTATGGAGAAAGGTACAAGATACACGTTTGCTCTTTTCGGACAACAGCTTCTTGGTCTAGGTATAGATTTTGTGTAGGAATAATTAAGTATTATGGGACTCCCATTTTTCTCAGTATTAGCCATACTTTGTTATGATCTACATCAGCAATTGCCTTTATATAGTTAATAAAACATAAATAGACATTCTTCTGATAATCTCTGCTCTCAACCAGGATCCATCAGACATCAGCAGTGATATACCTAGTGCTACAGCCTTTTCTAAACCCAGCTTGAACTTCTGACAGTTCTCTATCAGTGTACTGTGCTAGCCATTTTTGGATAATCTTTTGGATTAATATCATATGCAAGTAATATTTTCATCCAATATTTTGCTTGCATATTATATTAATAATATTGTTTGATAATTTCCACACAATATGTTGGATCAACTTTCTTGGGAATGGGAACAAACATGGGTTTCTTCCAATCAGTTGACTGAAACTGTCAACTGTCATCCCGATTTCCTGGTACAAACTGGTAAGCATCACCAGGGCTACATCTGTTAGTTTAAATGTCAGTTGGTATTCCATTGATTTCCTGGGGCCTTATTTTTTGCCAATACCTTCAGTGGAACTGGAACTTCTTCCTTCATTACTATTGATTCTTGTTCATGTGGTATTTCTTGGAAATTTTCAGTATTAACCAATTATTTTTTGGTACAATGACTTTGTACATTCCTTCCATCTTCTTTTGATGCTTCCTGGATCATTCAAGAATTTGCTAGTAGCATCCCTCAGTATTACAACTTGAGACTTGACTTTATTTTTCAGTTCTTTTAATGACAATTAGATTTCATTTCATCTTACTTCAGGAACAGTA